ACTCAGTTATTATTTATTTAACCATGATTCCCCATAGTGCATTGCACCACTTTTCTTCACATTGCTTGAATATGTAAACCTCAGTTGGAATGTGGGAAAATGTAATATATTAATGTTTATTTGTTTCTCCTAAGTATCTTCTTGATTTCAATGTCTCTGGCAGCTTTGGAAAGAATTTRAGAGATATATTTCAAGTAATCAAAATAATGGTCATAGGCAGCTGGTGGAGATATTCAGATGCATGAAGTTTTTATCTCTTCCACATACAAACCTGGTAGGAATATCAAAAGAGCATACATTCAGAAACGCTGCAGTTGAAATACTATCAATGTTTTAAGAGATTACTTGGTCACTTTGAAGGCTTACTCAATGTCTAGATACTGTCCACATCCACTAGTCTTTAAATCTTACATTGCTGTGAACTTGACATGGTCAAGGTTGGAACAGTTTTGAGCAGATGGGCAGATATTTGCTTTTGTAGAGTCAGGAGGAACGTGTTCCAACATAAACCCCAGCAATTATGAGTCTCACAGATGAAAATCTTCTTGCAGTTACATTCATACAGCTCCTTTGCCTACAAATCTTACAGACTTTTATCGAAGTATCAGACTGAAAGAGAATGTGACCTTCATGACCATTAATCTAGAAAATATTCTGTGGTTCTGTGTTGAATTTCATGGTGCAGAGATGAGACTAAAATTCTTCCAGTACTAACATTATTATTCCTCTGATTTTTGTCCCAGCATGAAATAAACAGGACCACAGAGCGTGTTTATTTCTTTAATAGACCACGTATTTCCTTGTTTAGGAAATTTAATGAAATCATAATCTGATATTAAGAGTGTATTAAAGATCTTTTTCAGGTTAGAATGATAAACAAGCTGGCTTTAAATCTCAAAATGTTGTGTAAGAAGAATGATATATCTAATTGTAGTATTCGAACYGTATTATGTAATAAACTAAGGGAAGTGGGAATGCTTTTTCCCCGCTATGAAGATGAGATCAGTCAGCCTGTGGTTGTCTACTGCTGCACTGGTTTTTCTTTGCTTTCCTTGGTAGATGAAGTTCGTTAATGGGTCAGACCTCTATCCACTTTGTCTGCCATTCATTGTGTATAAATGATTCATTTTCTGATTGTCCTGCTAAGAGGCTAAGTACTGGTTTGCTCTGAGTATCTACAGAGACAATTTTCATCCTATTGTAACTGGAAAGAATCAAAATATCAAGATTGTTTTTCTATTTTGGGCACCTCTTGATTACTTTGATTTATCCATTTACCTTCTATCCATAACTGGGACTCTTGTAAGGTGCATTTAGCTTTCAGTCTTAGTACTCTCATCGAGAAGGAAAAGAGCATGTCCTTCTCAGACAATTTTTTCATGRTTTTTACTATACTATTTTATCCACAAGCCTTTAGCAGTCAGGACTGCAACCAGGCTGAAAGATTATCTGGGCCCCTCAGAAGTTACAGCCTATTGAACATGAGATTTCAGAATCCTGCTTGACCATCCAGCACATCTGACTTTTAATTTCAGATATGCTATAGGTAATACAGTCAGTCGAGATGAGTATTTCCACAGAGCCTTGGCTAGGTCTAATTAAAAGCTATGTGCCTTTACAGAAATTACATCTTCATTTGTAAGTTGCTGCCTTTGCTGTAAGCAGAAACATATTTTTTAATGGTCCTGATGGATTTATATTTATCTAAAAAAAATTTGTAGCTGATAAGGTTGATCAGCAAAACATGTTTTAGGAAATTTCCAGATTTGTATTTCCATTCAACTACTAAGCAAACCAAAAAGTGTATGTCACTTGTGCATGATTGAAATAAATATTTTTTTCAGGTTTCATTGATTTGGAATGTAGGTTGCAAGGGTAGATAAAATAATTTAAGAGCTGCTTTGAGTATCTTGGACTGGAAAAATCTTTCTGTTTGTATGGGAAGAATTTCTCAGTTACACACAATGACTAGACAAAAGTAACAGAATTACAGTGCTGAATTGAATTAAACTGACCGGGTCAATCAGGTCCTGTTGCAGGGAGGTTTATGAGGGTTTTTATGTGCTTCATAAAAGAGTTCTGATCTGCATTTACATTTTAGTAGCTCACTAAAATGGTGCCAATTATTCACAATTAGAGTAAATATTTTTTCAGGTTTTGGTCTTTTGGAATTGAGGTTAGAACATTCAGTGAAATATTCAATGGCAGTTCTTACTAAACTGGGTACATATGTGTGGGAGGTAGTAAGAGACTCACTGGAAACATCTGTTCAATATTCCAGACCATTTTTATTTTATATAAAGAAATGCCAAGCCTCTCAGTAGGAAGGCAGCTGTACCACTAAGAAGAAAACATTTGACACTTTCAATTTTGATCTGTTATTTTTTCAGCTGTGGAGAGGTCCAAAAATCACTTCTGTCCATCAGAAGGTTGGTTGTCCGCTCTGGTAAGCGCAGGTTTCATGGTTGAAGGCCTGGAGAGGCCTCCAGGCCCCTGCTATCAACGTGGCCCTTCCTGCCATCCGTGGGCTTGGCCGTGGGCGCGCACAGGGAGAGCTAAGTCTAGCTTACTGCTGTCTAACTTACTACTAACTCCTGCTGCCCGCAGGAACGTGGGTTGAGCTCTGTGGGGTCGTGCCCATCTGCTGGGACTGCTCCAGCTGCTCCCACAGCAGTTCCTCACCTTCGCTTGGGCAGGGCTGCAGCCCCAGGGCTGCCTTCGGGCTCTGGCCTCGGTTGTTGGTTGATGCTGCAGTTGTTAGTTAATTACTGAGAGGGACTTAAATGGACTGAATTTTCTTACTAGGAAACTGAGTTTACTTGTGGCTTCATAAAAAAAAAAAAATAGAAGGAAAATAAAATTGGGGAAATGCAATCATACTAGTTGATTCCCCCCTCTGCATGTTTGTCCTTTATATTRTCATATCCCTTGCTGTTTGTTGTACTGCGTTTTCTTTTTCAGTAGTTTTATCATCCCAAAGTGAAAGCTAGCATAAAACTGACAGAAAAATGCTGAGGAATTGGTAACCACTGGGGTTGGTACATCAAACAATGCATCAAGAATTATTTCAATAAAGAGAATGATGAGTGAAGTGATAACTTGCAGAAGAAACGGTGAGAATGCTCTGCAGAAAATAAATTTTGAATTTTTCCTTTAATATAAAAGACTGAAAAAAAAGGTTTGATTTTAACAGTTATAGAATAATGTATATGCTGCTATGAACTCTAAGTAGCCTGTCCAGTGGTTTCAGTCAATGCGCGCTGCCCTTGAATATGTTCACAATCAAACTTAGTGAAGTGAAATATCACAACTTCAGTACTGGTCATTTCAACATGATGATAGGACTGTTGTCCATTTTTAAGAGTTACCCTTAGACATATTCACTAGGGCATTTTTAGTTGGGATCAACAGGAAAACAAAGTTTAAGRATTCCTGCTACACAGTAAAACAAACAAACAACAAAAGATTTCCTGATCTTTTATTTCATGCTTACTTAAATCAGCATTTTCAAACTTACCTACAGTGAAATTCTATATCCCTCAATTTCAATTTTGCTGTTTTATTCTATAGAACTAAAATTTCACCTGTGAAGTGAATCTGCAAATAAATATGTAGTCTGTTTATTTTTTTATTTTTAAGACATATGAAAAAACACAATTTGCCTTAAAACCAGTGGGCACTATATGCCCATGACTCCTGGCACCTGAACTGAACTTTGAACCTAATTCTGCAAATTTTCCAAAGGGAAATATCAAAAAGTCCTATATTCTAATGTTGACCTTTATTTGCTTTAGCAATTACTTCAGAACTGGCAGTCCTGTAGTTTTGCTTAGAACTACCTTATTTAGTGTTATCTAAATTTTCTAAAATACTTCTGCTCCGTTGTTTTAATCATTCTGCTTTGTAATTTATGCTGTCTACTTGTGTTAGCAAACTGCCAAGTTTATGACCTCTATTACCAGAACCACTACAGAAAACTCTGCCTTCCCATTCATGCATGCACATGTCTTTGGAATTCATGGTAATAATCGATTACAACTAATCATGTCAATATATTAATATGTTAACCTACACAGAACTCTTCTTTCTGATACAGAATCTATTTTAGAAATATAAATTATATTTTATAAATATCAGGAATGCCAATTCTAGTCTTTCAGGCTGGCAATGGGAGTTTTTAAATGGTCATCAAGAGCTCTTACAGCAGAAATGGAGATTTCCTTAGGTGTGAGCAGCACCTGGACTATGCTAGCCATTCCGGGCAAACCTCACTTACAACTAGGCAGGAATAGCAAAAACACCAACCTGGAGTTGCACCAATTGCATTTATATCACATCTACTATTTTAATACCTCTCACAGCAAAAAAGGCAGTAAAACTTAACCCAAAATAGTAACATCTACTTTGTCAGCCCTGTGACAGATCACAACATTCACAGTAGGAAAACTGCAGATAGCCAGTTGTTTTTGAGAGATTTATGAACAGGGACAAATAATCTTATTTATTTATTTGGCAACTAGGCAAGATGTAGAAATAATCCAACAATAAAAAATAGTTACAGACTCAAATGAACACTGAGCCACAAAGGCTCTATCTTCATTTTTATACTGTACAGTAGCTATCCATTAGGTTTAGARTAATGCTTTTCATTTTCACAATAAAGCTATATTACAGCAAACATGTAAATGTTACTTTAAAGAATTCTACAATTCTGCTTCACTTTAATCTGTTCTTTTAAAAAATACCGATTTTCTTTCAATTCGATGTTTAAATATGTTTGAAGTTATAACAACAGAAGCCAGCCTGAAGTACGATAAAAAAGTGTCTGCTTTCGATGCATTTTTGCTACACAAACTCACTGGTTCAAATAGTAAAACAGTTAAGCATATTTCTGGCACGCACATTAAAAAAAGTACTAATCACATAATCCATACCCAGATGCTTATTGGTAAAGTGTGCTTTGGAATGGCATGGCTTTGGAATGTTCTGAACAAGGGCTGTGATTCCTAAGAGCAGATAGATTCATCTCCAGCAGCTGCACTAGTTACTGCCTGAACCTTCTACCTAGAATTAGAATCAGAGCCCTCAGGTAAAACTCGGTCAGCGTGAATAAGCCTACCAGAAATTAGTGCAAACCTACACTCTGTGGCTTGAAAGAAAAAAACATTAAAAGTAAAGTGCAGCAACAATGTCTATGTAGAAACTGCAGTGAGGTTTTAAACTGATGAGTTCTAGATTAATAAAACAAGCCCATCAAGCCAGCTTGTGACCCTTATCATGCAAGAGAAGTCCTTTCAGATGTGTCGCGCTCATACTTTTTTAGGGTTGATTTCTTTCTGGCCATTTCTTGTTTTAGAGGCCTTTTTGGGGCCACTGACCAATGGGTGGGTATTCTTTGCTGGTGCTTTGGATGCCCCACTGCGACCGCTGCGTCCCGCGTTCTGGTTCTTGCTGGGGGCCGTTCGCTGCTTTTGCTCCTGCAGTCGCTGTTCCCATCTCTGCRGAAATTGGCAGAAACAGAGAGAGTCAGGGAAAGACGTTACCATAAGTAACTGAGTCTTAGTCAACGCCAGCCCAAACCATACATACTAGTGATGATCACAGTGGTTTTATGTCTGCCCTGCAGCCGATTTATCTCTGTATTTTATTGCTGTTTGCAGCAACCTGCCACGTGTTCTGGGTTGGGACAATTTCCACAATCTGAGCCGAGAAGAATGGCAGGTCTTTATCCTGCAGAGCAAGCCCTGCATATTGCCCCTCCTGTTTCTTCAGCAGTCCTGTGAGGTTGGCATCACCAGAAAGCAAAGAACCCTTTCACAATATGTATTTATATGCACAGCCACAAAGGATTACAAAGGACAGTTACTTTCTGGTTCTTCTTCTCCCGGAGYTGCGAAGACTGGGCATAAAATGGTTTATGTTACAGGCAGAACAGAGAGATGACCACCAAAATCACAGTGTACTTGGAGGTGCAATGGGACAGTTGTGGACAATGCTGCATACGCAGCTCTCTCTAGCAGCAYCCCTGAGAAATTCTGCAAAGCAATGAGCTCTACCCACCCATCAAAGAGAACAGCTGCCAGATTTCCAAACTCAAAAGCAGTGGTTAGAAAAACAGGATATTAGAGCAAGGTTAAGAGTTCAGGTGGCCTGAAATATGGTGATTCACACTACACTCTAACACTTCTAGGACAGAAAAAAAAAATTAAGAATTTCTTTTTCTTAAGCAAACAAACAGGCAGCTGAAGCTGGAAGGTATTTCACTGTTCCTCTCTCCTAGTGAAATTTTTCTTCTGRAAATCCCAAAGAGAGGGTCTTTGCCCACTGATCAGAGCTAAGACAATGCTCTGCAGTTCGGCTGTTTAGTATCTCAGCACTGACTCTGTTGCTATTCGGGGTTGCAGGCTGGCTGCAGAGGAGATCAAGCATGTTGTGGTTATGTTAACAGATGTCTTCTGTGACCCACAGCTAGCTCAAAACACTCATTTTAAGTGGTAGCTCAAGATAAAGTTGGATGCAAGTCTGCAGAGATGAATGATGGGCATTGAAATGAAACCACTGCAATACCTAGCTCCATACTACAGACAGTCATTAAGTTGGGGGCATTATAAGCATCTTTTTAAAACAAGTCTCAGCAGGCATTTAGGTGTGTCCCACTGAAACATGTAGAAATTAGTATTTAACATATGAAACTATAAATAGGAGAGACATTATGTGTTTTGAGAAGTAGTTTTGCAGGAATGTCTTTGTTGTGACAGTCTATGAACAAATGTGCAAAGCAGTTTCAAAACACAATGAAATATGACTAAGTAGTGTGAGGAGGCCACTAGAACACACTGTGCACCAGTAACAGGTCATTAAGTTGACAGTTAAGGCCTTTCAAATGTCTCAGTCAGTGTCAATACACACATAAATCCCACCTGCAATGGCAACTTTTAAAAAATATTTTAAATATTTATTTTTTCCACATACAGGATTTTTTTTGATTAAATGGGGAGAAAAGGGAATGATGAAATAATCAAATACAATTCAAGGAATTGGTCTGTAATTTGAAAACTCCTGCTAACAGAAGCATCTGCTTTTCTTCCCCTCCTATCAATCGCCAATTGGCACTTAACTGAAATAATTAAAATAAATTAATGTTTTGAAAATGCCTTTTCAGATGAATAACTGATGTAGTTAATTCTATCTCTAAAGGTGCCAGGAAGAGTCTATTTTCTTCATCCACGCTGTTTTTGCATTGAAAGGAAAGAGAAGCACAGACGCAGGAAATGATTTCAAGTGCTACCCTGAAGTACCAAGACGTCGGCCTCTCCTTCCTCCTCCGTCTTTATACTTTCGACTTTTCAGGCCCCTGTCCCCTGAAACGAGTGAGGGGGGGCCCAAGAGCTTTACTGGGTCTTTACAGGGCGGCAGCTGCTGAGCAGTCCGTTTCACGAGTCTACCTAATGTGCACTATCTGCCCCTCTGCATATCCAACTTACTATCTGCCCCTCTGCATATCCAACTGCCCCACTTATCCAACAGCTAGGTGCCTAAGCAGGGATTTGAAAGAAATTCCTAGGTTTGTTATTAGTAGGACCACATTTACTATCCAACACATCACCCAGCCTCCATACTGAGGAACAGTTTGCAGATAAAACAGAAATAAAATTTTAGAGACCCTAACATGAAAGACTAAAACATTCGCATTTACACTTACGCCCAAACATAGTAATGTACGAGAAAAGTAGTCTCATTTTTAGAAGTATTAAAGTTCTGAAGTGAAATCAATACCCAGAGATATTYAGTGCATTGGAAATTCAAGCCTTCTTTTCATTGCTGAAACAGAATATAAGTGCTTAACTTTTATATCAAGAATTATCAGTACTCTTTTCATTCATAGTATTTACCTTAAATCTTTTGTTTAGTTGATCCTTCCATTTTTCAACTAAACATCCATCAAGAAGCATCAACCTGCAAATTAAGAAATAAATGTGAGTTACAGATAATTCTAGTTTTGAGTCCTGAGATGTCATTTCAGGTGATTTAATAAACCTTGAAGTTGAAATGAGCCACCAAGTACTGGCACTGGCAATTTCTTCATATGGGTAGCTCTAGAGAAGGATGGGACACATTTTCACCATAAAAATATTTCTAAATGCTTATACTAATACTCTTAAAATTCCATTCCAAGCTCTGTAATCATTTAGATCAAAATCACATCAATATTTCAGATTTATGGGAAAAGACAAGAAAATCATATTCCTCTTCATATTTTACAACCAAAACAGTTTCAAGAAAATATTCAGAGCTCTCTGTCCTCACTTTGCAGGAGAAAATTGTCCAGTTCTAGTCACTGGTAATRAAGATTTAGGTTGTAGAATATGTCCTAGAACATATCCTAAGAAACTCTTTACCTTTCTTTATTATGTGTTTTTTAATTATGTCTAATATGTATATRTATGAAAACATGTTCTGTATATTATGGATAAAATAAAATATTGACCTAAACGAGGAGAGGGCAGTTAAAAAGTATTTTACTTCTGAATTTATAAAAATAAGTTTCATATGTACCAGTAAAATACATTTTAAGATACTTAACATGTTATCTGATGATTTGCAGTCATATACATTACTACCTATAAATGTATTATGAAGATATTTAAAGTGAATATTCTAAAGTGAATTTAGAAAATGCATGAATGGTGATATGTGTCTACCAATGACATCTGGCTAACTCCTACATGAGTCTGCCAGTCAAGGTGCTATGAAATGAACGAAACAAGGGTGACTATTACATAACATGTGCCTTCACAAGTTCCATTCATTATATTCTGCTTATTCTGAAACACTCTGATGTCACACCTTCTAGGTCCTAACCTAGAAACTCTTATTTTTATAGCACAGGGATGATGGAATTTCTATATTTCCTGTTATTGCTAAGTAGTTCTACAAAAGGTATTTTGTAAGTCCTTAATATATCCCAATTGATTTTGGGAGGCTTTAATTAAGACATCAATGTTTCCTAAAGAAATCAAAGCATCATGATATGTGTGCACAGTCTCAAATAGCACCTAGTTGGCAGGTGGGCTTTTCACAGCACAACAGGGTCTCACTTTTCAGTGTTCCTGAACAATGTTGTCATTCAATCCATGTCAAAGAGAGTATCAAATGCTGCCAACCATATCCAGTAGCACTATTATCTATTTTGCCCAAATATAAAATGACAATATCGAGTGCAAACCCCAGGGAATCAGACTAACATGATACACGTCTCCTTTCTAAGGAGTGATTATAGAATAACCATATAAGACCAAAGCTAAGGCCACATCATAATGAATGAAGGCACAACATGCTGAATATCTGAAGCATCTTTTGTTCTGGACAAATTACTGAGTGAAACCTTAACCCTGCTCCAGAACATTGGGTGTTTTGCCATCAACTTCTGTGGAGCCAGAGCTTCCACCCGTTGTGTCTCTGACATTTTAAAAAGCCACTGTAACTCAAAACCTTCCGTTTACATACCACTGAGTTCAACAGGAAACACATATAATAGTTTATGTTTCTTTTTCAAATCCATTTTAGTACACTATATGAAATTAAAAACCTCAGTGACCTTTAAAAACCATCACAAAATATTTGGTAATTGGTGTGTTTTTCCATTGTAATTGAGAAGCAGATCGTGATCTTTCACTTTTCAAATCCCCTTTCCCTGATAACCTCCTGAGAGGCAACTACAACACAGTTCTGCAGCTCAGTGCTCCTGAATAGCAATCACAGTCACGGTCTTTTTCCTAGAATGGGAAACACAATTAAAGAGCTCTGAATTGATCTTTGTGATATTCTCCCAGATCTGGAGWGTGCTACGTGACAGCAGCACAGCAGGTCTTTTAGCTTGCAAAAAGTTATGTTAATAAGATGTTCAGATGGTAGCTTCTAGAAGCACCTATAAAATGCTTTTAAAGTACCAACATTAAAATGATTTAAAATATGGGCATGGCCCGTCAAGTTCTGTGTGTAGATATACTACTGTAGATCCTTACAACCGCACCTGTTCAATTAACAGTCATAGTGCTGTAGGACAAGGCACGGCGTGTCTTACGAGTAACCTTACCCCCAGTGCATAGGACAGACTGACATGTGCTCATCATACATGTCCTGTCCTGCTGGGGTCTGTTGCTACTGGTGCACTTGGGTGCTGAAGGGATGTTAACTTATGCCTCAAAAAATTACTCTTGTGATCCACCATTCTCTCTCTTTCCCCAGACCAGCATGCTGGATTTCCTTCCAGGTCTGGAGTTAGGCTGACTGACAGTTTAAAGGTCTGCTAAAGTTATTATTRTTATTTTAAATCAGACAGCAAAACTAGCAAGCTGCTCTGCAAGCATTTACTCTTCATCAGCCATSTGGAAGCCGAAGCTGCCACGGCTGCTGCTTTGGCTAGTGCTGGTGCAGCTGTGGGATCAGAAACATCTCACTGATGGCACCAGTCTGAAGTACAGACAAGCTGAACGAGAAGGGCTGACTACATCTCCCRCAGCCCTGTGGACTCCCTCATCTCCTTATCCACCCCTAGAGAGGTAGAAATTTGCCGTCCTTGGAGCTGCTGCACGGTGTGGTGGGAATGAAAGGAGTCCTGACATGACAGACACTGTCAGCCTCGTACCTCTGGAAAACAGCCCTAGAAAAACACTCTCCAACAGCTGGAGATGCCTGAACTCCTGCACAGCATRTGAAACAAGATGCTGCTCTTAATGACACCAGGGTTTACGCTCYACGTGAGAGCCAGGTTTCCTAAGTACTGCATGGTGAGTCAGTGCAAAACATGAACTGTAAAAGTAATTGAAACACAGGGGTCTGTATGTAGGTTATCTTAAGGAAAACAATCGGTGTAATATTAGCTATAGACTTACAAAATATGTACAGAAAGGGAGTTTTGCCTCTTTCTCTTCTATTACAGCTAACTGTAAAGCTAATGCTTCTCTGATCCATATAGCAAGTGCTCACCTTGAACGCCATTCATAACACATGATGAGGACATCCTGCTTTGGTTGAAGAGGTGGACACTGGCACGAGGAATTTGTAAGAAGAGGCACTTGAGACAGAGGAATAGGCATCGACGACTTGAGGATGTCTTTTACTTCAACCACAGTTGTTATCTCATTGCAGCTCCCTCTTTCTACACTTCTTACTTTAGCATGAATGACTGCAATCAGAAAAACAGGCATAAGAACAGTGCCTTGTATTGGAAACTTAAGTACATCTTAAAAACAAATAAAATGTCTTGAATAGGAAGTGATCATTCTGGTTGYGAATCTAGAACTATTCCTTCATGTGTGGGCATGTACAGTGGCTTAGAACAACAAAGGCACAATCCTGATTTGGTTTTCAGTAGGACTGTTGACAAGTGTGAAATTAAACATGTGCTTAGAGCTTTGCCAGATCAAGAGGGATTATCTAGCCTGGAACTGCACACACACAAGTAGTTCCTTTGACTCACACTTGAATAACCCACTGCATAAATCAAGAGATTATTCCATAGCGGTGCATGGTGCTATTTCAATTAAGTAATGAATAATTTACCTCACAGACAGGTTACATTAATGCAGTCCTTTCAGTAATAAAATCATTTCACTGTAGTGTGCACATGGGAATTAAAGCCTCCCTCTTGAAAGAAAAGAGGATTTGAAGCAAGCAGTCAGAGACTTAGGGTTTTCATCATGACTTATACTTTTTTCTTTTGCCTTCTTTTTTTTTTGAGAGAGAAGCTCAGTATTGAATTACGTTTCAGTAGTAAAAATTCCCAAATAAAATAAAGTTCTAGAAGGTGTTCTGATTCTGAATTGTTAAGGATTCACATACTTATCTTTCATTGAGGAAAACTTAATGCCTGCGGAGTTGCAAGAAACTGAAGRTCTACAGATCGCTCTGAGGACAGTACCTGCCCAGTTTTGTACCTGAGAAGCCTGGAGGTATCTACTGCTGTACGACTGCACACAGTTTTTTCCTTCTTAAGTCTCGATGCCAAGTACCAAAACAGAGAAATGAAGAAAGATTTTTACATGAAGGACTTTGTCTCTAGGAAGTATCAGAATTAGAAGGATGTTAATCCCAAACTATCATGAAATTCCTCTGTGAAATTAGCAGTGTATGTGCCTCAGCTCCAAAAGCTGGATTCCAAACCTCTGTGTGCACTAAGTCCTGTCAATAGTGCCAGGAACGTTGAGTRAGAAGGGAATGAATGATTAGGCCCCAAAGCTTTCTTTTATGAAGTTCAACATGCTGATTTAATAACAAGTGGAAGAAAGGCACAGTCACAGAGGTTTTGAAGGAAACAGCAAAATACAGGTGTCCTWTTTTCTCTTCCTTATTATATACATTAAATGCAGACCCAGCTGACATAGAACATGCTGTGATCAGYGTGCAGCAACACTGCCCCTGGCAGCTGCCAAGCCGGAGGCAGTTAAATGCATCTCAAAACATTTGGAATAAATTTCAAGCACAGAGGATGGGACAGCTCTAATGCAGACTGGGTTTTATGCGCTCACCTTATCAAGACATAAATAATAGCTACAAAATGTATTGGGAGTTCAGTTTTAGACTCACAACATATTTTAAAGTGTGATTGAAACCAACTAGCACCTCAGCTCCTAAAGAACAGAGAAAAGTTTGAAAATATTTACCTATCATATTTGCATGGAATTTAGTTGGAATTTGCCTTTCAGTGATCAATGCAGATGTTGACCCACTACTGTAAGCATGATAAATATCTATTGCAATGAATGGTTCCTGAGAACATTATAAAATTATAGCTATGGTTATAATTATGTTTATAGCTATAGACAGGCAATCAGCKATTTCTCTCATTTTAACAACTGAAAAAATAATTCTAAGCAGATAGAAAAACAACTGAACTGTCTACATTAAAAAATCTGTTTTACTTGTAACTTGTTCTCCCTTTTTCCATTTCCCAATCATATTCCACATGAATACATCTGTTTATTTTAAAAGAGGCTGAATAAAAACATACCTCTCAAAAATAGGATCTTGATTTTACAAACTTGATGCAAATAAACTATGGAAGCTTTTGTAAACCTAAGATCCCCCGTTGTTCAGGCAACACTCTCACCAATGTCAGTAGAATCTGAATTTGAATGGCTAAACCTGTATTTCAGCATAGTCACTTCATAGTACTTCTTTTTCACATATTTCAGGCAGTTGTGGAAGGTCATTCTTCCACTTGAACTATCTGTCACTCCTTGGACACTGAGGTGGATTAAGGAACTACACGCACCAAAAGGCCACGACAAAACTAACTTTGTAAGTCAGATGTTGAGTTTGATTATTCCTACCAAGCTAGATGTGATTTCTTGTAGTAGTAGTGGTAAAAAGACTGAAGCAAATAACTACAAACTTACTTTCATTCCATATCAGGTAAATAAGAATTTAAAAGTCTATTGTAACAAGATATAATACCCCTATTATACAAGAAATGAAAATATCCCTTGAAGAAACAACTTTTCTCTGAAAAAAAAAGTCCTTACACTGCACTACATCATGATACAATATCTTAAATTCACAGTTAACAGCAGTTTTCTATTGACAGTACAGAAGTTTGATTTGGTATTTATCTCATCTTACCTAGCTTTTTTTCCTGACTCCTGAGATCAAAAATCCCAGGGGTCAGGACAGAGGGGGGCAAAGGCAGAGTGGGGCGCCCACTCACTTGCATTGCCAGTGTGCCATACAACATATCATAAGACTCCTGGCTGGCTGGTGTAAATTGTCCTTGAATTCAGTGGATCTATGACAGTTCTTCACCAGCTGAGGCTCTTGCTAGTGAGCAGAAGATAGAATATAACAATTTGTGAGTAATAAAGTTACTTTTGAAGTATTTCATCAGGTTGCGTCACCTTCCTTAACCCATAAGGTTCAAAAGGCACGTGATAAAAGTCAACCCTGCTTTATTCCACCTGCTGAAGGCAAGCAGGAGCCAGCTACGTCATGGTCACGCTCACACTGAATCCAACTGCATTAACCAGGTGTGACTGCCACACTAGCAAGCAGCACTTCTGAAGAGCAACCTGTGTTCACGAGGCAATTTAATGAGCTTTTTCTCCCCCTTGTTTTTTATCAGAAAAGCACTGCCATCCACACAGGGACGATTACTGCCTGTCGGAGATGGGCACCAGTAGTCGCACGTGCTAGTACCCGGTTTTGGAAGAGGAAGGTTGAAAGAGCGAGAGCTGGAAGGGCTGGAAGAGTGAGGGCTGGAAAGGCTGGAAGAGTGGGAGCTGGAAGGGCTGGAAAGGCTGGAAGAGTGGGAGCTGGAAGCGCTGGAAGAGTGAGGACTGGAAAGGTTGGAAGAGTGGGAGCTGGGAAGGCTGAGGTGCCGCAGGAAGGGCGACACCGCAGCTGTACAAGCCCGCTAACTTACTGTAGCTGTAGTTCTTGCTCAGGTAGGTGGACAGCGTGGGCTTGATCTTCTTGCACCTGCACCGCTCTTGGCGGGAAGGGGAGAGGGGCCGGTTAGGAGGCGGGGGCGCGCGGGGCCGCGCCGCCCGCGCCCGGGGCGCCCCG